AATGAACCAAAATTTTGAACAAACTGACTTAGTAGATGTCTACAGAATATTCCACCCTATAGCATCATAATACACATTCTTCTTAGCTGCACACAGGATCTTCTCTGAAACTGTTACATACTAGTGTATAGAATACGCTTAATTAAATGCAAAGGAATTGAAAATAATCCCAGAAATATCAGACCATAGTGTAATAAAATGAAAACAATCAATGGCAAAAGAAACAACAAATACTTCATAAACACATGGAAGTTAACCTTAACAACCAACAGTTCACAGATACTATCAAAGAAGAGGAAAAATTAGACAGTTTCTACAATTAAATGATAATGCCAATGCAACATATCAGAACTTATGGGATGTAATGAAAAATTTCCCTATGAGGAAAATTTGTATCAGTGAATTACCACATCAGAAAAACACAGCAAACTCAAACAGCCTAAAGTTGAATATCAAGCTTCTGGAAAAGGACAGCACATGAAGTCTAAAGCTCATACAGAGGAGGAAACTACAAAGATCACAGCAGAAATTATACAAAGTAAAGCAATGGAGACTACACAAAATACAAAGAATCAATGAATCAAAGAGTCAGTTCTTTAAAAGATTAATAAAACTGACATCTTTAGCCAACCTTGTCTAAAAAAAAAAACCTCTTATCAAAGTTTTTTGAGGAAAAAACTCAAATCCATGAATTGAAAAATGAAAAGGATAAAATCACAATCATACACGAACCCAAAATAAAATTAATACCTACATCAAGAATTTGTATACTTTTTTGTTTTGTTGTTTTGTGTTTTTGCTTTTTAGACAGGGTCTCACTATGCAGTTCAGGTTGTCCTTGAACTAACTATGTAGCCCTGGCTAACCTCAAATTCATGGCAGTCCTCCTGCCTCAGCCTCCCCAGTGATGGGATTACAGTCATGTTACCAAGAGTCTATATTCTAAAATTTTCTTTTAAATGTCTTTAGTAGAGGGTCTACAGGGTCTCACTGCACAGATCAGACTCGGAGTGATCCTCCTGTTTTCAGCCTCCCAAGCCCTGGGATTAGGTGCGCGCCACCATACCCAGTCTTAATCACTGCCTCAGCACATCCTGAGGGCACGGCTGGCACAGCACACCTAGGATCAAATCCTGACCCCTGCTCTGTCTAAGAAGATGCTTTAATTTGCTGAGCTATCTGACTGGCCCTCAAGAGCCTATATTCTATTAAGATAGAAAACAAAACAGAACAAATGGAAGATATAAAATTTTAAGTAACACAGTAACAGTAAATGAAATTGAAGATGTAGTTAAAATTATACCAACAAAGAAAAGCTCAGGTCTTCATGGATTCACTGCTCAACTGTACAAAATCTTTAGAGAAGATCCAATGCTACTATTCCTTAATCGCTTTAATGAAAATGAAAAGGAAGCAATATTCCCAAACTCATTCCTGGAAGTAAACATTACTCTGATATCAAAACCAGAGAATGATCCAACCAAAAAAAGAGATTAGTCCCATCTTCCTAATGGACAGAGATGCAAAAATCTTCACTAAAACACTGACAAACAAAGCAGCAAATCATAGAGTCTTAGATACCACAATAAGGTAGTAGTCAACCAAGAATGGTTCAATATACAAAAATCAATAAGTGTAATACATCATATTAACAGAGCCAAAGATGAAAACCGTATTATCATCTCAATAGATGCCGAGAAAGAATCTGGAGTTGCCCAACACCCACTCATGATGCAAAACCTATAAAAATTGGAATAAGACCCTCTATCTCACACTGAAAAAAGCCATCTATGACAAACCAATCGCCAATATCATACTAAACAGTCAAACACTGAAAACTTAATCAAGATCATCAAGGATGATATTATCTTTTATAATATATTTTCTGTATACAAGACATAAAACTGATGTTTTGAAAAATACTATACATGCATATCTATACCACATAACACATATTCTATATAGATATAAGTAGGAGAAATGGTTACGTCTATTTTAGAAGTTTTGAAGAATTAATTTACATTCTTCTTTTGTGAGAACATAAGCCTCTTAAGTCATTTTGGATTCTTTAATTCATTTACAAAGAGCATTTTGGAACTCATGCTGTTTAAAAGGAGAAATTTCTGTTGTTTTCCAAATGTCTATGTCATGTTTCTCCAATTATATTGCTAACATTTTTCATAGGCAATGTCTATTACTCTAATTATAATATCTAGTTTAAATAAATGTCTATAAAATAATCTAAACTATAAATTTAGGTAATTATACATCAGTTCAAACTGAGATTCCCCAATGTCAACCATTCTTCACATAGTATTTAAGTGTTCTGAAGAAAAGACTATAGACATGAACTATTGGAAAGAGAATACATGTAACTAAAACTAAAACATTAGTTGGAAGAATTTTTTTTTTTTTTTTTTTTTTCTTTCCGGAACCGGGGATTGAACTCAGGTCCTTGAACTTGCCAGGGAAGTGCTCATTCCACTGAGCCATCTCCCCGGCCCAGAAGAATATTTTAATAGTTCTGTCTTAGCTTCTTTTCTCATTACTGACATAAAATACCTGACACCTAAAGTTAAAGGGAGAAAGGTTTATTTAGCTCAGTTTGTGGAAGTTTCAGTCTATAATCAACTGACTCCAAGGCAGCGTGGCACATGGCAGAGGGACAACAGTTGATGGAGGTGGAAAACAGGAAAAGCAATGAGATAGCAGACCAGCCTCTTTTCTGTTCCTGACACTGTATTGGTTTTGATTGTTTTGTTTTGTTTTGTTTTGCTCTTGGAGACAGGATCTTGCTATGTTAAGCAGGGTTGCACTAAACTCACTATTGAGCCTAACCTGGTCTCAAACTGAGGGCTATTCTCCTACCTTAGTCTCCTAAATGCTGGGATTCTAGGCATGTACCCACAGCTTTGTCCCTTATATTGTATCCAGTCTACCAGGATTAGGGCAGTCAATCCAATCAGTGGACTGATCCAGCCATCACCCACACTTAAACTCAGCATCTTTAATATCAGCATTGCACTATGAATTAATCACACACTACAGATACAGCCACCTATGAACAAAACCCTATGACTGCATGACACTTTGGGGGACAGCCAGACACAAACCATGACAGGTTCTATTTGTACTCTAAAAATTCAGATTACCAATATTTCAATTCTACTGTATTTTGAAAAGTATGTTTTGTTATTACAGTATTCATAAAGGCATTATAGAAAACTCTCTTTCAAATATAATGGAGAAGTGAAATATTTTCATGACAAAGAACAACTAAAGAATTTCATGATGACAAAGCCAAGCCTACACAGA